GATTGGTGGTAACCAGGGCCAGGGCTTTTTTGGTGGTGGCTCCACTCTGGTGGAATGAGCTCCCAGAAGAGACCAGGGCCCTGCAGGACATCTCACAGTTCCACAGGGCCTGTAAAACGGAGCTCTTCTGCCAGGCTTTTGCAGCCACTACCACTAACATCACTAACACCTCTACCGCCTACAATTGATACCTATGTTGGCAGAACCGTGACTCACTAGTCCCCTAAATACTGCCCAAGCCAATCACCCTAGACAGTTGAGGAAGACCGAAGAGCTGACTATCAAATGAGGAATGTTGCTAGCACTTATTATGTCTGAGTGTTAATACTGTATTTATTGATTTATGTGATTTTGTTGTTGGAATTTTACTTTCTTTGTAAGCCGCCCTGAGCCGGCCCAGGCCGGGAGGGCAGGATAAAAATCTAATAAATAAATAAATATCTGGTTTTAAAAGAAATGGGAGTGCCACAGCATCTAATTGTTCTTATGCACAACCTGTACTCCAGAAGAATATGGAGAAACAGAATGGTTTCTAATTGGCAATGGTATTTCATCTCTATACCTCTTCAATTTATATGCAGAACATATCATAGAGAAAGTTGGATATTATTTTTATATTTAGATGAAGGTGGAGTAGAAACATTAATGATTTCAAATATGGAGATGACACCACATTACTAGCAGAAAATAGTGAAGGTTAAAGCAGAAAGTGCCAAAGTAGGATTAAAGCTGAACATCAAGAGGACAAAAGTAATGACTACTGGGGAATTACACAACTTTTAAAGTTGATGATGAAGAAACTGAAATTGTTCAAGATTTTTGTTCCTTATATCCACCATAAACCAAAAGGGAGACTGCAAATAGGAAATCAAAAGGAGATTGAGACCGGGAAGGGCAGCCACGAAGGATCTAGAAAAGATTCTTAAGTGTAAGGATGTATTGCTGGCAACAAAGGTCAAGTTAATTTGTGCCATAGTATTCCCTGTTACTATGTATGGGTGTGAAAGTTGGACAATGAAGAACACTGATGGGTACAAAGTCGATTCATTTGAAATGTGGAGTTGGAGGAGACTTTTACAGATACTGTGGACTGACAAAAAAACAAAAAGAGTGAATTTCCCCTAGAAGCTAAAATGACTAAACCGAGGCTAATGTACTTTGGTCCCATTATGAGAAGCAAGAATTACTGGAAAAGCTGAAGGCAGCAAGAGAAAAACCCAAAATGAGATGGATGGACTCAATCAAGGAAGCCACGGCCCTCAGTTTTTAAGACCTGAGCAAAGCTGTTAATGATAGGACATTTTGAAGGACATTAATTCACAAGGTTGCCATCAGTCAGAAGTGACTTGTCGGCACTTACCATGCATAGACACACACACACAGAGGTAAGTTTACCCACCCCACGCACCACTGCACTGAACTACATTCAATGTCTCATCTAGTTGAGCTCTTATACTTCCGCAACATTCTGTGTGCTGTCTTATCTTAATTATCCCTACAGGGTAGAAAATATTATCCTCCTATTGGTTCAGATGCAAACCGTGGTTACATGAAAAAAGCCTCAGGCTCCCTTCATGGTTAAACTCACTGGTGCGAATAAGTCAACAGCATGCTTTTTACATTTACAATACCTAATGTCTGGCATTTAGCAAGCTGGTAATGACTTTCAGTCCAATCAGTTCTCTCTATGCCCACAACAATGTTCCAAGAAAAAATGGTCCCACATTGTGACAGATACACTAACCTGCCAAACCTATGAATGAGTTCATATCTAAGACATAAGTTGTCCATGAGCTTTTCTTGTGCTAGTGTGAGGCCACACTGGGGATGGCAGGCACTCACAAGAAGATGCCATTTATGGTTTTATATTTCTTCTTATTTGCAACAGTAACATTTACCACAATTATAAACTCATTAAATGGAAACACAGCAAACTGAAAGACTCCAGCCAAAGGCTTCCTTTGCACTTTCACCTTCATGCCTAGTAGTGGTGTAGAAGAGATGCTGTAAAAAAACGTTTTTCATGGGACTGAAATCTATGCAGTGCCTGAGTAAGATGTTTGCAGAAAAAGGTTTTTCTTCCAACCCTCTTCTACCAGCTGCCATGCATGAACATCAAAAAGGGGGCTACCAAGGGTTGGGAGGAAAGCCATGCACAGCGAGGAAGATAAAGTGAGTAAAATTATTTGTCTCACCCTTTTTTACCTGCAGATCCCACTGACAGAACAGGTAGAAAGGGTAAGTTTTCCCTTCTCAGACCAGTAGCCTATGTCGTACAGCTTTTCATTCAAAAAGTTACCCCAGTACTTGGCATTACCTTTTCAAGGCTCACAGGCAGCCACTGGGGTGGGAGAAGATAGGCAAAATCCATCTCTGCCAGCCTTTAAGACTGCACAGAACTCAGCCTATGGACTGCTTGCACCATATAGGTGATTATTTGTTTAAGGCTATAGTATATTTTGAAGGAACCCTTCAAAGGCAAGTTTACTCAGAAGTTCCACTGAGGTATAGTGGAATCCTAAGCAGAGTTACACCCTTCTGAAGCCCACTGACTGCAGTGGACTTAGACGGGGCAACTGTTTATGCCTGCCATGTTAAATAGGACTTCTATATAAATGTGCCTAGGACTGCCTGTGTTCCATGCTTACTTAGAAACAAGTACCACTATGTTCAGGGGTGGGGTTACTCTCTGATACATGAGCACAGGATTGTAGTCCTTAAAATCAAATCAGCTATTACACACAGGTGGATCAAGGGCACTATGGCCTGGGGCGAAACATCTTTTGGCTGTACCAGCACCCAGAGAGGTTAAATATGCTGCTACAAGGGCCAGGGCTTTTTCGGTGGCGGCTCCTATCTGGTGGAATGAGCTCCCGGAGGAGACCAGGGCCCTGTGGGACCTGATGCAATTCCGCAAGGCCTGCATGACGGAGCTCTTCCGCCAGGCTTTTGAGTAGGAGCCGCCACTGTCACTATACCACCACCGCGTTGCCATTGGCAACGCGAACTGGCCTGGGAACGGAGAACCAACGTGGGAAGACCGATTAAGAATGAGACAGTAGTACCACCAGTAGAGCCCCTGCCTTGGATGTACTATGTGAGCACTGATTTTATATGTAACTTGAAATTTGATTGTTTTATTGATTTTACTGTTTATATGGCATTGCCTCTTGTTAGCAGCCCTAATCCCACAATGGAAGGGCAGGATATAAGTTTAATAAATAAATTAAATAAATAAATAAATCATGAGGGCATAAGCTACCTCTAATTTAGATGTGTAATGGTTTGTAGTCAACAGTAGTCACAAGCAGTGCTGAGAGGAGCCAGTGAATGGATTGCAAGGTCCCGAAAGTTGACATACAAAATCCATGCCTCTGGACAGAAAGTATCTGGGAGCCCCAGCCAAAGGTGCTTAGCCCCCCCTTCCTTGCTCGCCACTGTGCCCACAGCTCATAGCCCCATTTCCTCCTCAGCCACCCACAATCCCCTACCCAACCCTTCCTAGGTACATGAACTACATAACATATGCCCTTACGCTGACAGTGCTGGGCACCATGTGCAGTGGGGAACATGGGTGGCAGCAGGGCTTGCCAGAGACAGGTGGTGGGAAAGTTCAGGCAGGGGATGGCAGAAATGGGTCCTGCCAGAAGCTCTGGGCTCTGGCAGCTGATGGCACTGGCCCCAAGGAGTCCCTTAGGCAAATCACTTTTTCAGCCTTCTGCCAGTAACATGGGGATGACCAGCCTTATGAAGGTCTCTTGTGGACTTCTAAGATAATGGTCATGAAGTGCTTTGGGCACTTGAAAGAAGTTACTAAGAGAGCAGGTCTATGCAGAGTTACTCCAGTTTAAATCCACTGAAATCAATGGGCTTAGACTGAATGGAATAACTGTGCAAGTGAAACTCCTGAGAAATGCACACCAGTTGGTTCTGTAAAAAACAAAAACAAACCAGCCTCCTCCTCTTGAAAAAAAAAAAGGGATTTGGTTGTTGCACACTGAAGTAGCCATTTGGCATTTGCCCAATCTCAGCTCACACACCCATTTTTTTTTTCATATCAGCTTCTAGTGTCCTGTGAATTGGTGAATTAATGTGGCTACACCAGCAGGGAACATCTCTGCAGTTTCCTCTCCAGATCCAAAAGCAGTATACGTTGCCAAGGCTGCTGTATGGATGCTGGAATGCACTTCATAGTACAGCCCCTTCTCCCACTCCAGCTATAGTGCCTGAAGCTCGATCTGTGGAACGGATTAGATGGAACAAAGAAGAAAGCTCTTTCCTGGCTACAACTAGGTCTAGAGAATGTTATTAAGTTTAATGTGATCAGGACTCAGAGAGGAGCAGGGGGGAGGAGGCTGAATCCCACCAGGAGTTGGCCTAGGCTCAAGAACACACAGTGTCGTAAAATTCCGGCTGAGTGAGCAACCCCCCCCCCCGCCTGCTACAACCTTTGGGCAGAAAAAAAAC